TTTCATTGGTCGGTCAAAGTTCGCATAAGGTTGTTCTGACGTGAATTGTAATGGGATGTGATTTTAATGAGATTGAGGTAATCTAAACCTGTGATTAACATGATTAATCCTGTTTTGTTTATATAAAGCATTACTTGTTTATTGTGAAGCGAGTTTATCTCTGTAGTCGTTGTAATATGCAGCTACTAGCCCAACTCATCTTGCATCAAAATAAGGGGCTGTGTATTCGCAGGCAGATGACCAAGGAGAATGCTTATCACTGTCAGATTATCAAGATTGATTAATGAGTAATTTTGGTAATAGGTGTGTCGGAGTCAGACTGCGAGACTTGGGATTAACGGGTCTAAATAGCACTAAGTGAGTGAGTATGGTTTTACATCGCCTTCAGCAATATTCCAGCAATATCACGGTGGGGGAACACCAGAAATGGGCTTCACATATTGTACTGAATTAATAAGTTCCCATAATTAGTGTCGGATAAAGACGATTGTTGGTTTAAAGAGACTTGACCGTATATATTGTAAGCTAGGAAATTTTTGCAAGCAGAAATAAACTACAAAAACTGTGAGTGACACACATTCGTGATAATTTTATGACACTTTATTTTGCAGACCAACGAACAAAAAACATAAGGAGGCATATTTCTTTTATTCACTTTCAGTGTCAAAACAGCCAGTGATTGAATAAATAAATAATCCCTTACATTCTGTTTCCTTAATTATGCTTTGTGTGCACTCAGTGTCAATAGCCTCATCTGGAAAATCCACTAATGGCCACATCCCTCAAGTTGCTTAACATAACACTGAGTAAATGACGGGTATTGGTCCTGACTATCGTATTGCAATTTATTGCAATGATTCTTGTATTGTGATACATACCACAATACATTGCATGGATTCTTTCATCTGTAATTGGGGCGGTCGGGTAGCCTAGTGGTGAAAGCGTTCGCTCATCACACGGAAGACCCAGTTTCGATTTCCGACATGGGTACAATGTGTGAAGCCAATTTTCTGGTGTCCCCCCGCCGTGATATTGCTGGAATATTGCTAAAATGGACGTATAACCAAACTCACTTTCTCATCAGCAATCAAAACCTGAATAAAAAAATAACAAACAAAAAATCGGACTTCACCTGCATGTTTTTGACAACTTTGTAGTTGTCTGTCATTCTGCTTGATGTTGCTCTAGTCCTGACGGTCATATTATTTACAAGAAGTTAGTCGCAAACAGTTTGCTTTTCTGATCACAGGCATCGGTTGCTAATTTCTGAATATCATGATTTCAATTTCATGTGTCACCTATGTATCAAGATGAAAATATGCATGATTTTGAAAAACACAATATATCGGTGTTTTCGAAACACATTGTGATCATGGTGATACGTAAGTAATTCAAATCATAACACATCATAAATACTTACCATGCTTACCAATGTCAAAAATCAGATCTTTTAAGTACTACACCAATGACCACCATATATAAATTTGGGATTTGACACTGACAGCCTAGATAAAATTTTGTTGTTAAAATTTATAACATGTATGTTGGTGCTGCAAATACAGTAGACTACGTTTATAACCAACTGACCAACTGACCAATGTAACAAACTTATTTTTAGTCCCGGATATTTGTTGTATATATGCAGTATATATGCTTATAACGAACTACGGTTATAGCGAACTAAAATTATTAGTCCCTTTGAGTTTGTTATAACCGTAGTTTACTGTAATGGCAATGGTTTGTCAGAGCCCTAAGTGATGCAGGTCTCATATGTTTACCACATTGGTGAAAAACACGAGTATGGGTATGGAGTTGACTAACCTATAAACATAATCGGGGCGAACTGGGATTCGAACCCATTATCATAGGTTTCTGGTGCACCAAGGGATGCAGCCAACAGTAAATTGCAGAGTGTTAGATGACTGAGCCATATTGTTTTGCATTTTCCACATGATCGTCCAGTTTGCTAAGCCATATAATATATACCAAACTTGTGCAAAAGTACATTTATTACTAGCTTCATTCATGATCATAAACATGATAAACATTGTCACATGTATTTTTGTTTACAAGTAAGAGTGATTTCCAATGGTGGCCCTCAGGCACCCGGAGCTTACTTCATCTCTGCCATTGCTGTTTTATAACTGTGACAATGACCATGATGACATACTAAAACTATTCTATTTCCCAATTTCAACCAATTTCATGGGTACATACAACTGTGAGATCACTCAACATGAAATGTGGCACTATTGAAATAGCAATAAAGAAAACACAATCAATTTCAAACACAATAAATACACTTAATAAACCTCCACAATGAAATATCAATTAACTAATAGTCCCAGGTATCCCAGGTAGCTCACAAAACTGGCAATACAAGTGTGAACATCAAGAACATGATAAACCTGTTGCAACAATCAGCTGGAGTATTATTTCTCTCTAGTAGTGTAGCTTATTAAAGTTTTCTGCACAGACTGTGTAGACCATGCAAACTGCAGTCAAAATTAACATTCAAATATTTCACTTTCAGTCTGTAACTTTACCATCTATTCCGAAGCCCAGTATACTTTCCCCAAGCAGTGTAAATCTGATACTTGTCCAAATACTGATAATAAGACCAAAATATACTGAAATTATTGACAAAAATAAGATTCAGGGATGGGGGGATGCCATTAGTCAAATAACCAACTAGTCTGAAGTTTATTTCAGACTAATGGTTATGTAAAATAACTAAGTATGGAAATAAACAAAATGATAAAACAACTAGTCCCCTTAGATTGTTACTTGTATTGAACTGACAGCCTAGTGTCATTGTCAATCCCTGTACACAGTTTGGACTCTTGGCAGTATGGCACAGACTGCACTGTTTAAATTTAAGTGTAAAGTAATTATGTTCTCCAAATGGTTGTGGAACTTGTCACACGCGATGCAGCGAATAGTGATGACATTTTAGCCACTGGCTGCACTCATAACAAAGTTTGCACATAATGTTCATAATGATCAGAAAGTTAAACTACATGCACAGATTTATGTTGCTTTACTGAAACCGTCCTGTAATAAGGTGTAATGGGATTAAAGTCTAACATTACTGCATTTCTATCATGACATGCATGCATGTATGTGCGAGGCTGCTTGTACTAGTTTTGACTTATGCCGGATTTATAGTGCTATCGACTAGCCCACTGTGATACCATGCCACAGTTTAACATGGATATTCCACTTGGACACAGTATACTGACTCTAAACCGATCAGGACCCTGTTCTGTTTTAGTGCTAAGACCATCGTAACTCCCACACCTTAACATAGATTTATGACAATCGCAGCGCTTGTCTTATCCCCTAACGTCATCTGCCAGTCAGGTGAACAACAAATACCACAATTTAATGTCTTTTAGTATGACAGGGCCGGGTATCAAACCATTGACTTAACAATACACGGGCTTCACAATGCTTCAGGTTCCTGGTCCCAGAATAATCTCACAGTAACTGATTATCCCAATTACGATGTAAATCATGAACATACAATGATACAGATAAGCATGATAAGGAAATAGGGTGAATTTCATAATGTTCACGGAAATGGTTACAGTTACACAAGCATCTTACAAGACAGCAAATAATACAGTTTGCTGAAATGGGATATTCTCAGGAAGATGACAGCTAAACACAACACTTTCGCACAACATCTGAGTGCAGTGTTCTCGGAGTTTGAATGTTGAAGTGCCCAGTTGTGTTGTTTCATAAAGCACCAAGCAGTCATTTCTGTCCCTTCACCACACCACATACACTGTCATCGATGACCAGTTAATGACAGTCTTTTTTTTATTTTGTACATGTTGAATATACAACCATGACAACCAACTATATTGGTGTTACTAGATTAATATCCAAACTATTGAAATCATTTTGATCAAGCTTATTTGACAAGTAAATAACTGTAACCTAAATTTGTGGACCTACGATTTAGCAGGGATACACCCAACTCGCCTAAAATCCGACTCGCCTAAAAAGATTTTGACCCGACTAGCCTAAAAAAATTTGAGCGAACTACGGACAGTTTTTGTATTTTAGAATAAGTATGTAACTATCAGAAATACATAGTAATGCATTTTATACACATAATGTACCTAAATGTTAGTGTTGTAGTCTCGGTCCCATTCTTGTCTCGATTATTGGACACCTTCTCATCATGCAGGAAATTTTTTGAAATTTGCTACTTTATCATTTTAATTGTGAGTGAGTGTGAGTGAGTTTGGTTTAACGCCGCTTTTAACAGTATTCCAGTCATATCACGGCATGTCAGCTTAATGTGGGAGGAAAGCCCGAAGTGATGCAGGTCTCAGACGTTTACCACTTCGGTGAAACCCACGAGCACGGGTGTGGTGCTGACAAACCTAGAAACATAATCGGGGCGAACCGGGATTCGAACCCACAATCATAGGTTTCTGGCGTGCCCAAGGGACGCAACTCTGCACAGCGAATCGCGGCGCCTTAGACGACTGGGCCACCCGTGCCCCCCATTTTAATTGTGACTTCATTATAAAGTCGTTATCATTGGTCACTAATACCAAATTTTAAACTTTAAATGCTTCTGCATTTTGTCATTTCAGGGAGGGCCATGACAAATATATACAAGTACATACATGGGGGGGGGGGGGGGGGGGGGGGGGCATCATCAAATATGAGATGAATTAGAGGGGGGCCATTATTTTCAGAACACTAGAGCACAGAAACCTCTGACACACGCCCCTGTGATCAATGAATGATCTCTTAGTCTTATAATCTAAATGTCACATGTTTACTGATGGAAACACCGAATACGATTTTGATATATCGACAACGCAACACTTTATAAAACATAAATGTTTCTGCTATGAACTAAATGCAAATATTTGGCAATGGTGCTCTTATATATACATCGTGATGAATCACATTGACAACATGAAATTGGCACATAAACGCGAATAAATCTGAATGATTCGGCCTGTTATACTTACATTTATCGAAAATGTTGACAAAATGGTTACGATTATGACGATCTTGGTTAGTGGCGAATACATTGTGGTAATCACGGTAATATGAACTCGAGTTTCCTTTGAACAAGTCCCAAACTAGTCGGCCTAGGCCAACCTGTGCACTGACATAATAAACCGGAAGCAGATGATCGGACGATCACATGAGGGTAGATACAAAAGTCGAGCAGGACTATTATACGGAATGCCAGTAAACACGCAGAGTGCAGGCAGGCGGACTGTGTTACTCGTTGCCAATGGCGTGATCGATGACGCGTTCGATTATTAAAGATTTGGAACGCGTTTAAAATGAAAACTGATTACGATATTGGTTTGTGGATCCGGTTTGCTATTTTTGTGATATTTTGAGATTACCTCAGTAATATCCGAATACCTTTCAAACGATCTCAATTCCTCCTCTCATAGATATGCGGGTCATTCTCTAAAAAAGTAACATTTGGGCCTATGAAAAATCAACAAATCAGAATTCATTTTTGAAATGTTTTTGTTGAGCAGAAAAACAACATAACAATTACTGAATATGAGTGTAAAGTGTGCAGGCTTAATTAATATGTCTTATTTTTCTTTTTGCAGAAAACTATTTTTGGCATCTCTGTACCAAATGTCTGTGCTGTTACCATGCATAACATTCAGTTTTTGTCACCGAACATAAATCTAAAATGAATTAAATTTATAATATAAGGTTGTTGCATTTTGGCATACCGTATTCGACATAATAAGCACCCCGCTCTAATAAGCGCCCACAGCGATATTTGCTAATATATTGGCAAATGAACAATCCCAATTAGCACCCCTTCCGCTTGATCAATGTACGCAAGATTTATTTATTCGTGTATAATACTCACTCATGTGTTATATGCAACCTAATCATGGGCAATTAAATTCTGGAAAAATATATATGTCGTATATAAACAGTCAGGCCGTCAGCATAAACCATGAAATTTATCTTTCAACTCTGATTTTTCCACCAAAATAATATTCTAATAAGAGCCCCCTATTTCCAATTTTGAGAGCGCCCTGGGCGCTTATTATGGCGAATACAGTAGTTCAAATACCAACAGCTATAAATTTCATTTATTGGCTTTACTAAATTATTAGACTGTAAATATATGCATACAATGGAATTATTTGCAAAAAGATGTACGATAAGCTTGTCTACTGCTTACACTGAAATGGAGCTTAGTTATTACACTCATTTTATGAATTATATATATTTTTGTCAGCAGAGTTGAACCAATTATAACTTTTGAGATGGTAGAAACCTGGTGACAGGAAAGACATTCATGGTAACAGGACAGACAACATGGTAACAGGAAAGACAAAATATTTTGTAATTGCCAAAACTATAATAACTATTTCTGTGTTCTGTGTTTCAGAAGCAAAAGTAGTCAAAAAAGAGGAAACTCAATGAATGTGCATATCAAAGTATTAGGTGTATTTTGTATGAGATAAAAATGTGAAGTTTGGTAACAGCACAGACAAGCAAAAATTCATAAACAAATCTTATGTGGAATTGCTCATCTCAAAAATAGAACTTGATCAGAAACTCTGCCAACAACCTTAATGGCACTTTTTGAGGTTATTGTTGCTTATTCCAAGCAAAAAGCTGTAAGGAAATGAGAATAGTCAACTTTCAAAACTTCAACAGTAACAGCACAGACAAAGTCTGATAACATATTTGCACTTTTACCAAATGATAGCATTATATGATAACATCCAGTAAATCATTCTTGACCTCATTCATGTGCACATATAAACAAAGGTTATTGTTTGCCATGAATTGTTTCCAACATATCTTCCCACAAAGAAGACTCAACACAATAGTCAGAGGACAGTGATATTTTGGAAGGCTCTTGTACAAAGCTAACTATGTCCTCAAACTGGTACCAGCATTTGTCTTTAAGTTTGCGTGGCCAGAAGAAACAATTTGCATTCCCGTGCTTTCCCACTTTATGCATACATTCCACAAAAACTTCACCTAGCTCTATATCTTCAACATAACCAGGATATGATATGTTATACATAACGACAACGAATTTCCCCAGGCATTCATTTGTATCAACTGGCTGGTGTATTTCCTTTTGTCTTTCCATCTTATCATCACCTGAACTTTGTACCATTTCCTTACTTGTCTTTTGGTGAATCTCATCATCATTCAGACTCTCCATTCTGTCAGCACACACCTCCACTTCTCTCTTCCCCCCACTCATACACTCCATTCTGTCAGCACACACCTCCACTTCTCTCTTTCCCCCACTCATACACTCCATTCTGTCAGCACACACCTCCACTTCTCTCTTTCCCCCACTCATACACTCCATTCTGTCAGCACACACCTCCACTTCTCTCTTTCCCTCACGCATAGACACGGTGTTTGAAGTGATTATGTAAAATTTCTTTCATTTAAATTTGCTAAATATGTTACATTTCTTAATTATGTACAACAGTAGGGCGAGCAAAATGAATAATTGTTCATTATTTGTGTTAACTCGATAAAAAAATCCTAAAATGTCTTTGCTGTCACTGAAAAGTGTCTGTGCTGTTACTATTAAAAGTCTGTGCTGTTACCAAAGATCTACTGTGCAGTGTAATCAGTGTTTATTGACCCAAATGTTAATAGTATTCAGATTTTCATGCAACAAGCAAACATACAAAATACATTACCATTCATTTTTTCTTTGTCTTTTAATATATATATACATTTATTGAACACTCTATGTCTGTGCTGTCGCCTAAATATGTCTGTCCTGTCACTTTTTTTAAGGTGACAGCAGAGACAGTGACAGGAGAGACAAACTATGACATAATGCCAGCTTAGGACAATGACTTCTCTCTTGCACTTAAAAAAAGCACACTGGTTGAGTTCCATTCTGACAGTCAAATATACTCATTACATTTGATTTTTTTAATAACAATTTCGTAATCCCAAATGCATGGTGACAGCACAGACACCTACAAAAAGTACACATCAAAAGACAACATTTACCAGTTATTTTGAAGACACTGCACCAATTTAAATTGCTTGAGCATATGGTGCCATGATAGTACTGGAAAGGAAGAGACCTGCAAAGACCTTAGCCTTCTGGCTTACCAAAGGAGCAAATATTATTTGTATTTGTACTATCATGTGACAGGACAGACACTATTACTCTGGACAAGATTACTGTTGCCAAAAATAATGAATCCCAGAGGAAAACCAACAGCTTTTCTGCTGTTATCAGCCTTTAATGATGTCATGCTACATAAATCACCAGGGCTTTGGGAAGTATTTGTTCCCAGAGACTTTAGATAATTTGAGAAAGTTTGATTTTTTATTTATGAACAACACATTTCTGCACATTTCTGCACATTCAAGGTATATTACTGGCTAACCTAAGGTTATAGCAGTAATTTGATCAGAATATTGCATACATCTAATAAATATCTTCATTGTCAAGTAATCTGAAAACAGAATTATGAGTTGTTTTCAAGAAAATTCATTTAGACAGGAAATGTTACCTTTTTAGAGAATGACCCATGCACATTTGCATATTTAAATATGATTGAATATGAATTAAATCCACAAATCCACACATGCTTATTATAGATACATATAGGTACGCAAAAGTGTAATATATTCTGTGTTTATATGCTTATTCTTGATCGTAAAGATTATCAAAGTTTCAAATAATTAATAAAGAAAGCCCAACCCCATTTCCCCCACAATCGTTTTATTTTTACGAGGCGAACGGGCCTTCTAATTTTCATTGTTATAATGAAGCGAGTTATTCCTGGATAAGTTATTTGTCAGAGTGGTGGGTGTTATGGTTTGTGTGATGATGCGTGCAGGAGTATTCATTAAAACCTTTTATAAGGTAATGTCAGTGGTGTTAAGCGTGTGAAAGGTGCGGGTGGGCCAGTCGTCCGAGGCACCAAATATCGCAGTGCAGAATTGCGTCCCTTATATGTACCAGGATTCCATGATCGTGGGTTTGAATCCCAGTTTATCCCTGATTAAAATACTTGTTTTGTCAGCATCATGTATGTGGATTCACGGCCTGACTGACTAGATAAATACTTATTACGTGATATTTTGTCTCGTTGGATTCTTATAGCAAGCGAAAGAAGTTGTGACCTTGAACAACATATGGAAATAATTCTTTTGTAAGTCAACAGGAAGTCGTATTATTCCTTTATGTGTTGACCCGTGAAGATTCCGGGATAGAATAGGTCTTCAGCAACCCATGCTTGCCGTAAAAGGTGACTATGCTTGTCGTAAAATGCGACTAAGGGGATCGGGTGGTCAGGCTCGCTGACTTGGTTGATGCATGTCATCGATCCCAATTGCATGGATCGATGCTCATGATATTAATCACTTGATTGTCTGGTCCAGACTCGATAATTTACAGACCGCCGTCATATAGCTGGAATATTGCTGAGTGCGGGGCGTTAAACAACAAACCAACCAACCATCCTATATTTGTTCGTTTTTTAACGCCGCACTCAGCACTATTCCAGCTATATGACGGCGATCTGTAAATAATCGAGTCTGAACCAGACGATTCAGTAATTGACACCCTGAGCATCGATCTACAGGCACAACTGGGATACAATGACATGCATCAACCAAGTCAGCGAGCCTGACAACCCGATCCCGTTAGTCGCCACTCACAACAATCATGGGTTGTATTATTCTCCTTGATGAAGAACCTCCAAACGCAGTTGAACTCTCAAAGAAACCTAACGTACTGCATAACATATAACATCAGGGGTTCCCCTGGAATATACGCATTTAATCCCTGTAAAAGTTCCCTTTGAGTCATCAGCAAGTTATAGAAAGCAAAAAGGGCTAGTTTGCAGTTATATGCATGTGTCTGATAGATTTTAGAAACCTTTCTGTAAATTTAAAGTTGCCATTTTAGCCAAACAGCCTTCATCGTGCCCTACCCTTTACCAAACATTGATTAATTTTGTTGATGGTGTCAACCCCCGGCAAGCCTGGCCCAAGCTATGGAACGTGTCGAGGTAAAATAACACTCACGTAATACACACTTGTTACACTGCGTGGGAGTAATGTTGTTGTTTCCTTCATTTTTAAGGGACACGGGTGGCCCAGTCGTCTGAGGCCCCGCGATTCGCTGTGCAGAGTTGCGTCCCTTAGGCACGCCAGAAAC